ACCCTCAGTCTTCGAAGGTCAGATAATGTCCCAGCTGCCACCCACTCTCCCCAGGTGTTCTGTGTTCTCTCTGCCTCCGCTAGCTTCGTGACCTCCTAGTGGTAGGTACTTTCCTGGGCTCCCAACTTATGTGACGATGCTCTGGGTTCTCTCTCACCCTTTGAGCAAGTACTGCAATTGTTGCCACCTTCCGCAATGGAGAAACTGAGCACAGAGAGGGGAAGGGGTTTTTTCCAAGGTCACACAGCCAGCAGGTGGAGGAGTGAGGGTGAGAAAGCTTGTTTACCTGGCCCCGAAGTGGGGAAGCTGGTGACAGGTGTGAGGTGGTGTCCGTCCAGTGAGAACACATCCTCCCTGCTGGTTAGGGGCAGACACCATCGAGGGGACTTGGAGGCAGGGGCTCCTTTCCCACTATGTCCCCTGTCTGCTCCCCAAGCAGAACCCCAAGGAAGTCTGGACTGAGGCAGAGGCCACAGCACCACTCCTGGTCTCTTGATGAAATATTGTGCGACCTTAGGCTGGCACTCGTGTTGGGGTACCTCGTCACAGTGAAGGTCGAGTGAGAGAAGCCACCAAAAGCAGCGGGAGCAGTGCTGGCGCCCAGGAGGTCCTGAAGAGGGTTGGTGTAAAGACCATAGAAGGGCAGAGTGTTCTTTTCAGCCCCTGACAGGTGGACACATGGTGGGAGTTTCCACCAGGAGCCTGGAAAGGCCTCCTAGTAGGGTGAAAGTTATGTGGGCCTGAGTGTCAGAGACGTGGACCAGGTTTTCATTCTGGCCACCTGTGACAGCTGTGTGGTGACAAGCCAGTGATGGAAACTCTGTGAGCCTCAGTTCCCATCCTTGTCCAAAAAGTTGAATGGCTCAGGTGACATAAATGATGGAGGTGCCTGGCTCGTAAGAGGTGTTCCAGAGGTGTCACCTCTCCACATGCCAAACTCTCTTGGAGACTACAAACCAGAGCTGTCATCCGTGGGGACTGGGGACAGAGCTTCTGTCTGAAAGCCAAGAAAGACTGTGTCCCAAGCTGGTGACTTCAGCAAACAGGATTGTTTACCTTCAGTGTCTGCCCATTCATCTCAGAGTTCAGAGAAGAAAGGGCTGCTTGTGTGCTGGGG